CACGCACACACACACACACGCACACACGCACACACACACACACACACACACACACACACGTGCCTCTGTGTTCCTGGCATGTAGGAGCCATGTAGCCTGCGACATTTGTCTGTGCCGTGCCATTTTTCAGTGCATCAACTGCAACTGCGAGAATTGGATGCAGTGCTTCAACAGTCCACACCCGAACCGCTCCCCGGTCTGTAGGGGTAGTTACTTACCATGGGCAACGGCAGCTCTCGACTCAGAACCTAGTGCAACCCAAACACTGACTGGCCTCTTGTGCTATTCTAAGAGTAGCCTGCTCCCGCAATGAGCGTTGGGAACCCTGTGAAGTTCGTCTTTCCTCTGTTCTGTTCTTTGCCCCTCCACTTCCCTCCTCCACCCTTTCTTCCCTCCCCCGCCCCTCGCTTCCTATAGTTCCCTTTCCTTCCTCCCTCTTCTTGTGTACTAGTATTAGTAAATGCATACGAATCAGCATCATTAAGAGAACAGAAAAAATATAAGCTGAAGGTCTGAGGAAAAATGAACAGGAGTATACCTGCCCCTTTACTCTGCCTCCTTTCATAACGTGCAAGTGGGCTGTTAAGGCACACGGGGATGTGGGCAGCTGGCGCTAAACCACAATCAACGTGGCCAGTCTTGTACGTGAGAGGCACAGTGAAAAGGGAGCTGCAAGAACAGATAGAAGGGGTACCCCAAAGAAAGTCAAGAAAGGGCTGTAACTGATCCATTCTGCTCCATGTTGCTTTGCTATAGAGGTAAACCTGTTTCGTTGTTCAAATGGCTAATCTCATGTGTGCTTCATTGTCTGGCCTGCAATAGAGGTAAAGCTGCATCGCTATTGGATCTACTCATCTGGGTGGAACAGGGCCTGTTGTGGTGAATCATCTAGAAAACACACACAAACAAATGCAGTGTACCCATGCACAATGCATCTGGCCCAATCTGCTGTCCGCATGCTTTGTGGAACTAACAGCTCCTTTTGCTACTTAGATTCTTAGAAGCTATTTTTTGTCTTTGGATGGTTGATTAAGTAGCACTCATACTGTTTAAACCACCACTATGTTTCTCACTATGACGCTAAGTCTCAGAAGTAGCCTACTCCGAAGAAGTCGGGGGCTTGGGGCAGGGTTGGAGGCCGAAAACAAAAAAAAAAGAAAAAGGGAAGAGAAAAAACATGGTAACTGCGGACCCGGACACCGGACACTTCCGGACTAGTGTCTGGACCGGTCCGGACTGTCCAGTGATCCGGACATCACTGGGCACCCGGACACCACCGGACCCGGACAGTCCGGACCGG